GGTGTGAAGAGCTGTTCAGGCCCAACACACTGCCTTGTACACAGCTCAAGCCACCTTCCATATTTTCCCACAGGCCATCACAGTCCCAAATTCTACCACTGCCTTTGTCCCTTAAACACGGTGTGCCGTACAAGGGCTTGTTTCCTCAAGGCTGGACAAAAGCAGTTGCAGCGCGACCACTGGTTGAAACTGCATACGGGCAGTGAAGTTGGGCCACAGTGTGTGCGCCGGGACGCGATGACACAGTGCAGGCCTTCTTTCCTTCCCGTGCGGTGATGGAGACTTACATGGTTCTGGTGCTGTGGCATCGGCGTAGTGATCCTTGTGATGGCGAATCACGCTTTCATGACCTGAAAAGCTTCTTGTTTTATCTTGTTTTGAAAAGCTTACTCCGACCTTCAGATCGTGCACCCAACAGCAAGGGTGGAAAACTGCCCAAGCATGTCCAAGCGGAGTCCAAGCGCCATTTGCCCGCAAGTAAGTATTTGAGCCCCCGTCGCAATGAGCAAACAGACACCTGTCCACAGACTTGTGATTGGCAGTTTGGCATAGTTTGGCACGGTGGTAGCATGGAAGCTTATCCAAACATTGGCAACCACATAATGAAGTATCATGAAAGGATGTCATTCATGGCGCAAAGACGGACGGCCAGCTCAGCACCGGTTTGCAAACTGGGCCTCAATGTCCATGGCGGATCTTAAAGGTGGACAATGGCGGACACTTTTCTACACGTTCTAGCTCAGCAGGGGTGACAGCTGACTACTGTAGTATCGGCGAGGGATCGACTGCAAGCTTGGCCGCCTTTCCAGACTTGAGAGTATGTTGGTGTTTTTTTTGAAGTGGAAAGGGTGTCATCCCTGGCCCATGGCTAGGGACTTAAAGGCTACCCCAGCACATGGGTTCCAATGGTTTCCAAGCATGTTGACCAGCCAAGGAGATCCTGCGTTGCCGACAGCAGTCAAATCTGTGCCCCAGATATTGATCACTTGACTCATCCGTTCTTTTTTGGCTTTTCGGTCAGGAAGACATTTGTTTTTCCTGCCCACTGCCTCAGGTAAAAGATGATATCGGGCTCACTGATGTTTCCGAGAACGACTTAGATTATATTTTCCAGGCCCTGAACATGGAAGACTTGGGTTCTTCTACTCTTCGCATCTCTTCGCACTATACTATATATTCTATAACTGTGTATACATATACACATACACAGCACACTTGATTTTGGGCTTCGTTTTAGACAGACTCAAGATTGCTTCGTCCAGAAGCCCATTTGCAGAGCCGCAGCATGCCACGCCTGCGCAGACCTTAATCGAAATGGACACTGGTGGTGACTGCTTCGTGAAACAGGTGGTGGATGTGTTTGTGTAACTTGGTGGCAAACAACATTCCTGCTCTGTCGGACGAACGCTTCGTGGGTTGCGTCGAATCAACAAAATACACCGACAACGCATCATCTACATAAGTTTCCCTAAAGATCTAGGAACCAAATTATTAGTGGGAGTGCTATCCTGCGTCCAGTTATATTGCTTACTAACTCAATTGAGTAGTCGTCTACTTATATAATTGATTAAGGAGGCAGGGCCACGTGCAACAAAAATGACCCACAGCTCCTGCACCAAGGCTTGAAGTCCCAAATCAGGCGCTGACAGGTTGCTGCTAGTTGCTGCTGTTGCACTTTTCTGTGTCAGGCAACGTACACCGCAGTGCCAGAGATAGAGTAGCTCACAAAGATGACAATGGACAGATTTGTGTACGTAGCTTTTCAGTCTTTCAATCACAACTGAGGAACTTTTCCTTGGCAAGAGGTGAAGTTGACAGAGTTGCTTATATTGAGTTGGACCAGCTTCAGGGCTGCAAACATGCGCACAATTGCACAGTCATAGTCGTACTCTCTCATTAGCCAACTCAGGGGTGAATGATTAGACTTCGAGTGATTGGGGGTGCTTGACTGCGCTTTCCGGATAAGGTTGAGAAAGATATGGGAAGCCACTCCTCCGCCTCCTGACTACGTGGTGCCTTGAACTGGTGTTGGGATAGTTTTTTTTGGTTGCAGTTTGTCAGATGATGAACAGGTAGTTTTGACATGTTTGGGATTGTTCAAATGCTCATGATTGCCTGGTAGTGCAATGGAGCTGCGGAATAATCCAGTGGGATCGTAGCTTATGCTGTGCGGAGAGGGAGTGAGAGAGAGAGAGAGAGAGCGAGAGATAGAGAGAGAGAGAGAGATAGAGATAAAGAATGACTTGACACTCTTCAGAGAACGAGCACTACAGTGCATTTGCTGGTAGAACTTTGCTGATTTGTGCGGTAGCTGAGGTCTTCCCTTCCGATGACTACAGCACTCGTTTTTTCTTCAACCTTAGGCAGAGGCGCCTCCCACTGATCATCGCACGAATGCTCAACCTAGCCAAAGACTTTGCAAAGTGGAGGCATAAGAAGTACCAGGAAAAGCTGGCAGCGGAGGAGGAGGGAGGTGAGGTTTGACCTGCACAAATGGCCTGACTTTGCGGCTCAAATATTGGTGCTGCAGTTTGTTCTGTTCGCAGACATTAGCGAGGCCATTTCTAGATCGATGATCGGGCGATGCTGGAAAGACAGCACTGCCAGTTTCACGAGGCATCCCGCTGATGCGAAGGAGCGTCTCACCAATCCTCACCACAAGACGTGGGCAAAAAAGTTGTCAAGTGTTCTTGACTTTGATGATAGGCACCAGTAGCTATGAAGATTGTGGCAGATTGGTTTTGTTCCTTTGTCCCGCTGTCGCCTACGGTTGCTGTATTTGTTACATCGTGATGTTTCGGCCGGCAGCGTTGAATTGCTTCGCTCCCGCACAGCACAAGTGCCCTTGACGTCGACGTGCAGAGAGGCCTTGGCCATCCTTGGCCCTCCCCTTTTCTTGTTTTGGTTTGAGTTTATTAGGTGCTTGCCGTTCTTTGTGACATGGAATCGCACATCAGCACCTCCCTAGGTTCTCCGGTGAAATGGCATTCGTTGCACCTGCTGTCTTGGGCCACGGAGGCTGGTCACTTTGAGGCGTTTGATTTTAAAATCTGCTTGACTGAAGTGCAGGACGTGCATTTCAAGCGACACCACCACCACCGGCAGGAACCCCGACAGATCATGGCACAAGCGTGCTGATTTCAGCCAGATTGACTTATGATTTTGTATCGTCAGTGATTCATTGATTTTGGTGTGTGTTGGCATCAGTGTGGGGCCAAAGACACACTGTGGAATTTGCCAGGACGTCCTGCTGCGCCACCACTGGAGAATGGAGTTGAATTCCGGATCAAGGCCATTTCCAACAACTATATACTGCAGTTGTTGTCGTGGGTCGTAGGCCGTTCGCCAGCTTGAAGATAGTACTGTAGATAGTGTTGTCGCTTCCGGCATCCTTCGAGAGTCAGCACACTCGCTTTTTTTAACCACAGGAGAAACGTGCAGAACTTTGACAGGACACCCTTTTACATCTACAAAAAAAAGCCTTTAGGTTGGAGGCCATCGCTATTAGGTTGGAGGTCATCGCTATGTTGGATGCCATTGCTATTAGATCTAATTATTAGGTTGGAGGCCATCGCGATTAGGTTGGAGGCCATCGCTATGTTGGAGGCCATCGCTATGTTGGAGGCCATCGCTATTAGGTTGGATGCCATCGCTTCTATATAGGTATCTGCAACGAGCGAACTGGGGAAACGAAAGTGTGGACCTGGGGACCTTGACCGATCCCTCCCCAGCATTTGGAGCTGACCTTCGCTCCTTTGACTTGCCGTGTGTGCCAACTCAACTCCAATTTGTTCCAAAGGTTTGTAGTGGTCCAGCTCCAATCCTTCAAGTATCCATCCCCTTTTCCATCTCCAGCAGTTTCCTCAGAGTCTTTGTTGCAGGTGGATTTGTTTTGTGATTTTTGTTGCTTGTGATTAGTGACTGGGCTCACTGGATAGTGGATATCGGCGGCATTTGTTGTCCTGCCACTGCTTCGCTGTCAGGTGGGTTTATGTTTTTTTTGTTTGAAGATGCCAAGTTCAACTCAAATGCACTGGCAAAACACCTGAAGTGGGAAAGTTCTCTGTGTAGCATGCCGAAGGGAGTAGAGTCTCGCCGAAGGATTGTGCCTTTTTTTGCTTTGAGCTAGGGCGGCTGACATACACCATGCTTCTAAAATGACCCGGATGCAAACAGTTAAATGTATTGAAGTAAATTGAGACATTGCCATTACATGTGCCAGAGAAATCAGACGCCTATGAATCGACAGCTGCAGTTCAATTTGACAAGACAGCTTTTGTTCGGGGAGCTCCAGGAGCATGTGTTTGATGGCGCGAAAGAAGCAAGACTAGCTGTGACTAGCTGCCTGTGCAGGGCTCTTCTACACTGTCTATGTTCCTTTGTGCAGCTGTCGTGGCAACTGGAGCGCAGAGGCAGGAAGTGAAGTGCGGGCAAAACTAAGGCAACCATGTTATGTAATATATATATATTTACTATTTCTTCATATATATGATTAGATATGCCAATGAATCATGGTCGCAATGCCAACTGCCAGTCGCACTATAATCTTCAGCGAATTGCGTGAAAGAATGAGCACTGTAAATCTTGCTGAGATTCTACTCAGCAAGCAAGAAAGTAAGCCGCATGCAGGCAATGCAAAAGGCACGCCAATCAAAGCTGTCTTGGACCGTCGAAAATGTTCGTTCCTGACAGGTCGGGAATTTTGCGGCGGTCTCGGGACTCTTGGCTGGCATCACGTAGTTCAGTTAGCTTGAAATTTTGACATTTGCTTGTGACTACTGCTGTCTGACTTGAGAGGGCAGACAAACGATAAGGCCAGGATCCTGCGAAGAGGCACAGGAAGTGCTGCTACATCAGGATCTTGCTGCAGGAAGTCGCAGTGCTTGCACCCAGACAAGCCCGCAATGTTTGCA